GGGGACTGGAACCCTCTCTGGGCTAAACTCGGGGACAGGAGCCCTTACTGGGCTAAACTCGGGGACAGGTGCCCTCACTGGGCTAGACTCGGGAACAGGAGCCCTCCGTGGGCTAAACTCTGGAACAGGAGCCCTCCGTGGGCTAAACTCGGGAACAGGAGCCCTCTTTGGGCTGGATTCGGGGGCTGGAGCCGACACTGGAGCGAGCATAGTCCTTTGGTGTCTGGGAGGTCCACGGGGCGATGGTAGTTGGCCCCAAGCCAGAACAGAGAATTGATGGTGGCGTCATCCAATGCCGTCCGTCGCCGCAAGCCCGCAGAATTCCCAGGCGTACTCGAAGAAGGGGAGATCTCGGCGGGCTAAGGCGGAGAAACGAGCGGCGATTTCCATGATCTCAGGGGGAAACAAACAGGAAACAAAAGACTTTCAAAACAAAAAACAAACACGGGGAGAAGGGGCGCCACTTACTGTTTTGGTCCGGTATTCTGTCATGCGTGCCTACTGTGCTGGAGCGAGGAGGCGCGGCGACGTAGGAGATTCCAATAATCATAAAATTTTATTGAACAGAACACCAGGAAAGCACACGTAGCACTGGGGTGAGACAAACAATACTGGACGGGAAACGAGGGGAAGAACACACTTTAAATACACAGGAAACTAATCGGACACAACTGGGATCAATGGAACAGAACGGGAACACCTGGAACAAATGATAACTATAAGGACAGGAACGGGAAGGACCAAATAAGGGCATAGGAGGAACACAGGGGAAAACCAGGACATGGAACACGTGGGGAGCAAAACAGAGGCGTACTCGAAGAAGGGGAGATCTCGGCGGGCTAAGGCGGAGAAACGAGCGGCGATTTCCATGATCTCAGGGGGAAACAAACAGGAAACAAAAGACTTTCAAAACAAAAAACAAACACGGGGAGAAGGGGCGCCACTTACTGTTTTGGTCCGGTATTCTGTCATGCGTGCCTACTGTGCTGGAGCGAGGAGGCGCGGCGACGTAGGAGATTCCAATAATCATAAAATTTTATTGAACAGAACACCAGGAAAGCACACGTAGCACTGGGGTGAGACAAACAATACTGGACGGGAAACGAGGGGAAGAACACACTTTAAATACACAGGAAACTAATCGGACACAACTGGGATCAATGGAACAGAACGGGAACACCTGGAACAAATGATAACTATAAGGACAGGAACGGGAAGGACCAAATAAGGGCATAGGAGGAACACAGGGGAAAACCAGGACATGGAACACATGGGGAGCAAAACACAAAACATGGAACAGGGTCTGACACCCTCAAGCTGTTCAAGATATAGATGAGTTTGTTTCTTTATCAGAACAAATTTGGATAAATTTAGCATGACATCACTTGCTCACCTATGGATCCTCTGCAGTGAATGGGTGCCGTCAGAATGAGAGTCCAAACAGCTGATAAAAACATCACAATAATCCACAAGTAATCCACACCACTCCAATCAATCAATCAATGTCTTGTAAAGCTTCATTTCATTTTAGAAGTGATTGTAACTAAACTTATACCTACGGGACGTTCTGTAAAGCTTATCTGAGCTAGTTACAGTAATCAAGGGGGCTGAACTTAGTGTAGGGATCATTCATCAAGTTTTTAATGGGCTTCATTTTGGTTTTAGCAAGCTGAAATAAAATTCACAATGTTTAGAACACTGAGCACACTGAAGGCTGAAACAGCTTAGCGTATTCTGTCAACAAACATTTTAATTACGAGGCTTCATTGCTGTCATTCCTGACAAAGTAATTGCAAAGCTACATAGACCTTTTAGTTCTTTCTCTATACAAATGGAAACATACAGTATAACATTAATAACCAGTCTACAGAGCGAATTGCCATCTATCTGTTTTAGATGAGGAGTGATTAAAGCAATTGCACATATTTGTCAATAATTACTAATAATTAAGGCTCTCTTTATATGGCTTTTAGCTTGTTGATTTGAAATTAACAGAGCAGTCTGAAAGGTTCATTTCTACCAGCACAGCAGTGCAGTGCTTGTTTGCTAATTAGGTTTTATTCATTAGATGGTTGAAAGCTCTTTGTGGATACTGCAATTAAAGTTGTTACTTAATTGTTGCATGAGCACTGGTGGAAAGAGTACTGAAAATTTTTACTTAAGTACAAGTACTGTTACATTCCTGAAATAATACTCAATTATAAGTAAAATTACTGGTGTCAAAACAGTACTTAAGTAAAAGTACAAAGTACTCCTCTCAAAAACTACTCAGAGTACTAGTTACTAGTTACTTTTTAGTCGGCAATATTTAATGAATTACCAAAAAATATTCATTCATATCAAAGATCTATGTGGATAATAGCTACTTTGAACAAAACCCACTTTTATCTTATTGACAAAGTATGTGAATTAGTGGTCATGATACAGGAATTTCTAACTTCAATACCTTGAAAAATATCAATATCAAAGTACCCGTGAACCGGAAGTTGCAACTGACTTCAGTGTTGTGATGTATTTCCAAGTGAAACGGATTAATGAATAAAGAGCGGGGTTTTATTGTGGTGCACCTCCACTCCACCTCTTGCTCATAGCAGATTCACGGTGGCAGAAATCTAAGCCTATATCTTGCCGCCAGCCAATCGCTGCGTTGCTGATCGTGGTTTCGAGTATTGATAGAACTGCCCTTTTCGGGGAACACAAGAACGGCGTTCTTAGCAAGCGGCAACCTCCCGCTCTCTCTCGTGAAACCAACACGGAAGTGACTAAAACTACAATTCATCGACTGGCCGCTAGAGGCTGGCTCCAAAAGGGAGTCAGTCCCATAGACTCCCCATGTTAAAATGCCTAACTTTACAGCAGAAAAAAATGTGTTTTACAGCCTGGTACAAGAAATGGTTTTGGTCTTATATAGGTAATTTTTCCCTTCATGACAACTGTGAGGGGGGTGAATTTTTTTTATAACTCATCCGTTTAAATTATATTAAGCCTTAAAGTTCTGCATAATTAAGGGTGTGGCCACTTGAGTTACAGGTGGATTGCCACTGCTGTTGCCACCGTCGAGCTAGGTGGGCGTGGTTTCAGCAACCAACTCCCGCCTCTTTGCCCATTTTCGATTATCCGGGAGTGACGCGCGGTGACACGCTGCCAAGATGGCGACGGCCGGCTTCAAGAGAAGCAGCTTGGAAAAGCGGTGGCTTTTCCCGGTTCAGATATCAGGGCTGTTATTGGTCCGTTTACAGTCGGATATCTTTATTGGCTACTGTGAAGTGCCGTCAAAGGTTTGAATATCAATTCAAATTGTGGGCGTACTCAGAAATGAACTATGATTTATTTAATCATATGATTTGTTAACTTTATTTATTTATTTAATAATGATTAAAATGTGTACCTTAGGCTTATTACATTTTTTAAAATTAATTAATTTATTTTAACCTTAATGGTTAAATTGTTTTAGGGGCATTAAACAAGCTTTTGTTTGCTAAAACATTTTTCAAAAATGTATGGAATTACAGTGAATGGCAAAACTTTGTGTCACAATTTGAACTAGATTTTAAATTAAAAGCTAGATTTTTTGACCCTTTAACAGCCTTTCAAATGTTGCATATTTAAAAGACACGAGTCACATGACAATTTACTGTATATTTGCTTTAATATCACTTTAACATGAGGTTATTCATCTTTTGACTTGTAAAAAGATCATGATCATGATCCACAGAGTAATTCAAACACTCTACAACAGTCAGTTGTTATCATCTAAATATCAGTTCATGGAAACAAACTCTGTTTGCAGGCTGTCTATTCATTTATGTAAACTTTTCTGACACTGAATAATTTATGGTTGACATATATCGCATGAAAAGTCCCCATGCCTGTAGGTGAAATGCAGGCCACTAAACAAACATTGGCTCAGATCAGTTAAATGTCAAAAGGTGGCCTCAGTTCGTTTGTAGCACATTTAGCCTTACGAAGAGGGGAGGGAACCTATCCAATTATTTTGTCTTTTTTAAAGGGAAAAGGGGTTAATGATGGAGTGAGATGCCCCTAGCTGGGCTTCAGAGGAAAATAGCACTCTGTTTGGCTGAAGTCCCCCGCTAATTAAGCAGACATAATTGTCACTGATCTTCAGAGCTGTCGAGTAGCCACAATGCTGTAATTAGTGCTGCCACTGAGGACTTAAAGTTTCACTAAACCTTTCCAGTCCTCACACAAGAGCACACACCTCAGCAAACCAACCCTCCGGCTTTAGACGAGTCTCTGGAGGACAGTAGGAGAGTAAAGGAAAAGGACAGTAACAAGGGAGAAAGAGAGTGAAATCAGGGGGATTACACCAGTTTTTTATTAGAAAGGAGTTGCGATTTCAAATTTAATTCTCATCTCTGCAATGTTTTGTACCAAACTTTTCCAATTCTTGTTTTTTGTCCTCTATTACTCATTGTTACCTTTCATTTTCTCACCTTCTTTTCTCTCTCTCTGACCCTGTATCTCCCTCCGCTGTCCCTAATCCACTTTCTAGTTTGGAAGAACGGAGGTGATTGACAACACGCTAAATCCGGACTTTGTCAGGAAGTACATCCTGGACTACTTCTTTGAGGAGAAGCAGAACCTGCGCTTTGATTTGTGAGTTATTTCGTTTGATCCCTGTCCTGAAGCGCCACATCCACACCTCCATTCCTTTGGAAAACCCTCTCACCTCCTCCCACTTGCCATGCCATTTTATTTTGATTTACTTTGACCCTCTTACTAACTTAATCTTAACCTTTGTAAGTGTTCATGCGTGATTGTTTTGTGGCCTGTTTAGTTAGGAAATGAGTTGGTGTCACTTTATAGTACGTGTCTTTAAATACCTGCTGTGATAATACAATAATGAATTGTTTGGTACAATGTACCTATTGTGTTCATGTTTAATTGCTGAACACTTTTTCTGCTCTTGAGGTGGGATGTGGTAGGTTAGGGACAGGTTTGGTGGTATGGTTAAGTTTAAGTGGTATAGGTAGAGTGAACAGTGTTAATTATAGATGTACTGTAGCTACAGCTGTAATTACAGGACAGTATTTTCAAATATAAGTGTAAAAACATGTAAAAACATGTACACAGTAAGTTCATTGTATCAAATGATTATTTTAAATGTAAGTATATTAGTTAAGGACACTTAATATAAAGTGGGTCACAAAATTCAATCACTTTTTAAAGAAAGACGTTTTATGTCGCTAGTGTATTGTATGTAGCTAGTGTTTTATTGCAATGCTTAATATTTGAAACAACCCAATAATTTCGTTAAACGCCTTACCATTGGGGAATCAAGACAATTTGGAGGTATTCCTAAATTTAAGGCAATGATATTTAAGAACATTCTTTTCATTAATTCAGGTATTTGTCTTTACATCATTCTTAAGAACAAAGATAAGGACATTTTTAAGAAGTTTCCTAATGTTTTTGAGAATACAAAATATTCTTAACTTTATTCTTAGGGTAGAAAAGAAGAAGAATGTTATGTGAATCCAGCCAGAGATACATTGCTTTAATAGTAAAAGATAAAGTTTTTACTTTAAGCACTTTATGAAACTGCTTTCTGTCAACAGCAAGCACGTTTGACCCTTATGTTGTTATGCACGTTTACTTAAAATTACTCAAAATTTTGTTTCTGTGTGTGTATTTGAGCACTTGTCTATTAACGTGCTTGTTTCCTTTTAAAGTTTGTTTTAATGGCTTATCTTTTAATTAGCTGCTCAATGTGTTTGAAGACTTTGGATAACAGTGTTTTTTTCCCCCCTACTTAATTCAGATATGATGTTGACTCTAAAAGTCCTGATCTTTCCAAACACGTAAGTAGTGCTGTAATATGATATGAATGAAAACATTAACATGCAAATCAGTTTCTTTAAAAACAATATCCAAATATATTTTGGAATGCACTCCCCTTTTTGAAGAGAAAATCATTGAGATGTTGTTACTTTCCATTTTAAATGACATTAAGATATTTACATGAATATTTCTTTTAGTTGGGTCCACAGTTGATGGCTAATGTCATGAAACTGATATCATTTAATATTATATATACAGTTATTTTTGTTATGCTTTTTGAAGCCACATTTAAAAGCTACAGGATTAAGTTTTGGATAATAAAACTAACTATTGTTATTTAAAAATTAAGTACAGCGTTTGAAGCCACTGGCATATTTACTTGTGCAGAAGCAACAAATGATGCAATCATTTCATAATCAATATGATTATGTGACTATATATTTGGATATATTTTATTCACATTCCTCCCCATTCCTGTGATTCTCATCACATTTCATTTAATGCATGCAAAGCGAACGTGTAGATCTACTAATCATCACTGTCTTCTCTGGTCTGATCATCCCCTAAATTGTGTGTGTTGTTGTCTGTGTGGCTGGTATTGTATTTTTGTCTTATGCTTTCTGTTACATGCTGTGCTCTGTTGTAAACATGGCCGTGCTCCTTCCCAGAAGCCCCTTGAACTATACGTACGTCTTTGCCTTTCAATTCCCTACTATAAGAAGAGGGCAGAGCTTTGGTATTTGTTGAATATGATAAGCTCTTACCGCCTCTTCTGCTTGATCCTACCCGCTCCATCTAGGACTTTCTTGGCCAGATGTTCTGCACACTGGGCGAAATTGTGGGGTCGCCAGCCAGCCGACTGGAGAAACCTCTTGGGTGAGTAGAATTCAAATCACAGCTGTGTTTTCAAAAGTGTGCTTGCTGGAACTGTGCTGGCTTGTTTCCAGGGTCAAGTATTAGCCACACCTGCCAGTGTCAGGTACATCTAGCAGTCAGGATTTTTCCTTTTGGTCACACTTATTCATATTTTAAGCTATTAACAAACCATTAACTATGACTTTTGCCTCAATAAACTACTAATTTGCTGCTTATTAATAGTTAGTAAGGTAGTTGTTAAGCTTAGGTATTGGGTAGGATTACGGATGTAGAATATGGTCATGCAGAATACTTGCTTTATAATTATTAATAAACAGCCAATATGTTAATAATAGGCATGCTAATAAGCAACTAGTTAAGAGTAAGAATGGGTCCCTATACTAAAGTGTTACCGAAAAACGTTTGGAGCATTTTTTGTTCGTTATAAGTTTTTGTTTTTTAAAGTAGCGACCAAGCAGCCAGCAGCAGACAGTGAGCTGATAACCTATATTTGATCAATTTGGCCTTCTCAAATCATCACGACTTGCCTAAAATAAAATCTATAGATATAAAACAGTTCGAGCATATAGCAATGTTTAAATGTTAAACCTAGATAAATGTGCGCTGTATCCAATAGTTTGTGTGGAGAGTGCAAGCTAAAGCGCGCTTTGCAGGACATGGAGGGGCCAGCACAATCACTTGCATTTTTTTCAGTGGATACGCCGTCATTTTTGCTCATAAAGGTAAGAGTAATACATCATTCCTAACTGTAAAAGGTCTACTTTTATTTGTGTGCACTCACAATATCAACAAAACATTGTGCTTTTATAAAATAAAGAAAACAAACATGATGCGCTTTCTGCCGTCTC